GCTCATGCCTGTTAATCCTAGCACTCTGGGAGGCCAAGGCGGGAGGATTACTCTAGTCAGGAGTTCAAAATCAGCCTGAGCAAGAAGGCGACCCCGTCTCTACTAAAAATAGAAAGAAATTAATTGACCAACTAAAGATATATAGAAAAAATTAGCCGGGCATGGTGGCACATGCCTGTAGTCCCAGCTACTCAGGAGGCTGAGGCAGCAGGATTGCTCGAGCCCAGGAGTTTGAGGTTGCTGTGAGCTAGGCTGATGCCACAGCACTCACTGTAGCCTGGGCAACAAAGTGAGACTCTGTCTCAAATTATATATATTATATATAATAATATTATATAATATATATTATTACTGTAGACTGTTCTGGGCAGAAGGAAAATCATCAGAGAAGGCACAGAAGAGTCCATTGAAGAGCTAGTGTTTCAGTTTGGGTAGAGTTTCAGTGGGAATGTTCGGTGGGGCCATATCATGAATACATGGCTATGACAAATTGGATGTAGGGACTAAGGAAAGAGAAACATCAATATAACAAGTGCTAATTTGGAAAGGCAGAGAAGAAAGCAAACAGTAGAGTAGCAGAATGTTCTTAGCAAAAATTAATTAGTTGGTTGATAGAGGGCAGTCAGAAAGGGGCATCCAGGAACAAGCTGGAGATTTGGGGTGAGAATTCAGAAGGGACATAAGGGCTGGGTTAAGATTTGAGAGTCAGCAGGATGGAGATGATGGTTGAAGTTGTGGGACATGCATGAGTTTCTTCAGAGTGACGTGATAGTCAGAAGATAAACCACCAACGATGGTACTCTGTAGACCAGCATCACCACCAGAGGAAGCCAGCAAAGGAGTTTGAGAAAAAAAAAAGGAAAATTTCAATGTGTAATTTTAAAAACAGAGGAGCAAGGGGGTAGTACTATAAAGAGGTCAAGTTAAAAACAGAACAGATTTGGCTTCTGTAAATTATTAGGACATGAATGGTGACTCCATAAAGTATAGAACCGTTGCAGTGATAGAAGTTAAGCCAGCCTGGAAATCACCCACATTAGTTTGGATAGATATAGTCCATTTTTTTTCCATCACTTTCTAACATTCATTATATAATTAGACAACATTCTTAAAAAATCCATTCTGTTGTTGGTGGATTTTTGGATGGTTTCCCGCTTAGGGCTATTAGAAAATAACACCACCATGAACATACTTAGACATGCATTTTGGTGCACATATGTGTGCATTTATAGTGTGTAAGTGCCCGAGAGTGGAGTTGCTGGTTCACAGGGCAAGCATATGATTAAGTTTAGTATTAATAAATACTTCCAGAGTTTACCAAAATATTATTAGTTAAATTTTTAGTTAAATATTAGTTATACCAATATCCACTCTGCCAACAGTGTCTGAGAAGGCAAGGCACTTCACATACTTACCAACCTTTCATATTGTTTGGGGTTTGGTTTATGTTGCTGCTGGACTTATGTTTTGCTTTGTGGTATATGGAGGATTTATGTTTTGCATTCCGGTATATGTAGTGGTATAAAATTATTGTTTTAATTTGCATTTCTTAGAGGACTAATGATATTAAGCACTTTTACATTTGCTTTTTGTTTGAATAAATTGTTGTGTGGAGTGTATGTTCAAGTTATTTGCCTATTTTGTAATTGGATTATCTTTTTAATGCTATACAGGAGTTGATTATATATTCTATATAATTTGTCAGATATATGTATTGCAAATGCAGTGGGTTGCTCCTGTGATTCTGTTAGTGGTGTATGTTGATGATAGAAGCGTTAATGTAGCCCAATTTATCAGTCTTCTTTTAGGGTTAATGTTGTTTGTGTCCTCTTTACTAATTCTTTTCCTACTTAGGTCACAAAGATATGCTATCTCCTAGAAGCTTTGTTTTACACTTCATATTTAAGTTTAGGATCCATCTGGGATTGATTTTTGTACATAGTGTGATGGAATCAATATTCTTTTTTCTGCTCTAACATCAATATCCGATTGATTCCACACCTTATCAAAAAGAACATCCTTTCCTTACTGTATTGCAGTGACATCATTGTCATAAACTAGATAGCTCCATGTGTTTGGGTTGATTTCGGGACACTCAGTTCTACTGGTCTATTTGTCTAGTCTTGTGCTAATATAACTGCTTTCATTTTGCAGCTCTATAACAAGTCTTGATATCTGGTGGTCTAGTCTTCTAAGTTTGCTCTTTTGCTTTTAGCTGGTTTTAGCTATTTTTGCCTGTCTATATTTCCATATAAATTGTCAACCTTCTCACTTTACCTTCTTCCCCCAAACATGATTGAGATTTTGATTGGGATTATATTAAATCTGTAGATCAATTTGGTAAGAATTGCCATCTGAGCAATATTGATTGTTCCAAACAATCAACATGGTATATTGCTCTATTTATTATGATTTTTGTAATTTTTTTTCAGTAATGTTTTGTAGTTTTTTCTCTTTGGAGTGCTTGTACATCTTTCATTAGAATACTTTCTAAGTATCTAATGGCTTTTTAAAGTACTGCTGTAAATGTTATGTTCACTAAATGCTATCTTATGTGTTGCTAGCTTACACGAAGGCAGCTGATTTTTGTACATTGACCCTCTTTATCTCCAATGACATCACTAACAACACTAATTCTAATGGTTTGGAGATTCATGTGGATTTTCTAAGCCCACAATCACATAAACTATGGATTACTTTTATTTCTACCAATAAATCCCTCTACTTTGTTTCCTTGTTTTGTATCTAAGGCTACAGATTTTCCTATAAACATTGTTTTACCTTCATCCCACAAATTACATTTTCTAGACAATCCTTAGATAGTTGAGGATGCTCAAAAATGAAAAAGATCAAACCAAAACAAACAAGCAAAATCCAACAACTGAAAACTGAGGAACTTGAAAAGGACAAAGTAGGAGTTAGAATAACATTTAAATATATAAAAGAATAGCCTAAGAAAGAAAACATATTTAATCAATGAAATAAAAATAGGGTGCTTTAAAAATGTTAATAGATGGGTTAGAAAATAAAGTTATGGTAATCTCTTAGAAGCAAAAGCAAAGAGATGTTTAACAGAGGAAATAAGCTGATAAATGTACTAGGTTCAACACCTGAATAGAAATTCTAGAAAGAGAAGATAGAGACTAAGGAAGTGAAGGATTGTCAAAGAAATAAAACACTGAAGACTTGAGGAATTTCCAGAATGAAAACAAAATAATGAACACAAAGAATGAAAAAGACACAAATCAATGTTTATCACAGGGAAATTAGAAAACTCCAGAAATAAAGAGAAAATCCTAAAGTCTTCCAGAGAAAAGAGTATTCTGAATTGACCATTGGGTCAATTTCTCATCAGCAATGCTGAAAGCTAAGAGAGTGAGCTAATGCTTTAAATATTCTGAGAGAAAACTTATTTTTAACCTAGAATTCTAGACCTAGCCAAACTATCAATGAAGCAAGAAAGAATAGATATTTTTCTGACATGGAAAATCACAAAATTTTACCTTCTAAGTACCTTTTCCCAGAAAACACTCAGAAGACGGGTTCACCAAAATGAGTCAAGAATGAAGCCAGAACACAGAAGATTCAAAGTAAGAGAAGCAAAGGTAAGCCCCGAAGGACTACTCTGCAGCACACCTGGCCAGGAACTAATTCAGACAGAAGAAAAGAAAGAAGGGCAACAAAAGATCTATCTCTAGAGAGAAAAGAAACATTAGTAATAGAAAAGAATATCTGAGTATGATGAACAAATGGAAAATAAAAAAAATTTACAATCCTGTGGGACATTTGTTAATTTCAGAAAGAACAAAAAGTTGCATAGGAAAGAAACTATCATCCTAATGCACTAATTGTTAGCTAACCCAAGAATAAAATCCTAAGTTAAACAATGGTATTATTTTAACAAAAAATGTATATATTACTATACTAGAAGGAAGAAAAAAAGGTAACTCATGTGTTCTTCCTCCATAATAGCAAGTTAATGGAGAATGAGTAAAGCCAATAAGTAATGATGTAGTAGAACACAGCTATCCTTTAAAAAGATGGAGGTAAATACAAGAAACAGCTGTTAAAAGAGTTTAGGGAGAGGGACTCAGGGGTGGGTTAGAATGGAATAGGAAAATGCTGTTTTTCATTCTGAGCTCTGTAGTACTATTTGAAATTTTAAACTATATCTATGTATTAGACAATTAAAAAGTACATATTTTTTCTAAAGAAGCCACAGTAAAGATAGGGACCTAAAGCAAAAGGAAATGATTTGAAATGATTATTTTTTTTCTTTCTTGAAAGGCGGTATCTTAGGCTCTAGACTAGATCTTGAAATTAAAGACAACTGAGTTACGATGATATATATCACAAGCAAACCAATGATTCAGATATTGTAAACCATTTCTAGTAATAGCTAGCAATTCATAATAAAGCCAAAGAGTGCTTTACATATAAGTGTATCATAGAATGAGCTCAATTTTGTTTAAGGGGGCAGTGAAGGATGTTCAAATATATATATTTTACGGACGTGTGTGTGTGTATATACACATAGAAAAATAATATATTTTGCCTACAACATATACATGTTACTGCCAAGAAGTCTTGTTAATTAAAGAAAGATTTTCAAATATTGTTGGGTAATTCATTTGTCAATCATCCTTCTTCAGTATCTAAAAAAAATTTCAGCCACAAAATATCCAGTTGCATTTAGAATAAAAAGATAGAAAAGCTACCTATGGAACAAAAAAATGTTTTTAAGTTTTTAGAAAAGTTGGAAAAACTAAGGCAAATAAAAATTTATATATTCAGTTACAACTTCATGCTTCAAGTATTTGAACTGAACACAAAACCCCTAAAAGTAATTTAAACCATAACCTTTAATAATGTAAACATCAATTATACTTTTTATTTAAAATTTTATTCATGATAGTCTTCTTAATTACAATAAATTTAATTTCAAAAACAACCTATCTTGGAATAAAACAGTATCAGATCCTTTAAGTGCATGTGATCAACCATACAAATACAGTAATTTTAATATTCAAATCTTAGTATCATATATATTTAATTAGATGTACACATAATAAAATAAGCCCATACTTTGAAATCTTTAAAGAAGCCCTTTTTGTTTTATCAAATACAAGGCAGATAGAAACCTATAATAAAACTTAGTAGTCAGTTCATATGCCATGGGCTAAACAATAAATTAATCCTTTAAAAATGTCTATAAACCAGTACAATTTTTTTTAGTTTGATAGGCCAAAGACTATTAAGGAATATTTAAAGGCTCAGTAGAATCCACCAACAATAAAATTAAATGAGTTTGGAGAGAAATCAAATAAGCAAATATTAACAACACAGTGTATTTCCCAGCATAACCAAATCAGTGTAAATATCTTCAAATTGCAAATACTAGATTTAATAAAATGCTACTATATCTAATTAGTTCAAATATCTGAGAAGAGTGCTTTGGTAAACAGTTTCTCCTGTCCCATAGAGGGACTTTAAAGCAAATCCAAAAATATACTGTAACAAAGTGCTGTTGGAAATGTATTCATTGCAGAAATGAACACAGTAAGCAATCCTATCTTGCAGTATGGTAATGTGAAATGGTATGATAATGTAAAATACAAAAAAAGAGAACTAGATAATTTTTACTTCAAAATCTGAAGTAAAAATACAGAAAATGATGAGCTCATTATTTTATGTATCTGTTATAACTAGGAATTGTGGCCTTCCAATTATTCATTCTTACAATGTTTGTTTTTGGATAGCCTACTATTCGACAAGAAGTATAAGAGGTGCTATATAGACACTGATGAATAAAACAAATAAGGTCCTCTGGAAAGAAATAAACCTTGGTCTAGGAAGTACTCTTTATATCCTTACAAATTTAATTAAATATGGCTTTGGAAACTAAAGAGAATATTTTTTTAAAGAAAGGTAATTCTGTAAGTGAGTGTTTATGTATATATATAATAAGTCATAATTTCAAAGGACTGTAGATACTTAGAAAGGCAAAATTGCTAATTGAGTATTTCAGTTGTTATACTTATCTCACAAACTGTACTTCCTGTTCTGTACTTTTTCCTAAAGCACATTATTACATGCAAAATTTTTTAAAACAATGAAACAAACATTAAATGCATTTTTTCAAATATAGTCTTGGTAAAATATGAACCAAGTTCCAATTTTCTAATCAAGACAAAGACAATTTAAGTAGAACATATCATCTGAAACAGATATCCATCAGTAAGTCAGCAAATCTAGGGAAAAGCAACTATGATTGAATATAAGGCTGTTGTAATTAATCTTCATCATCTCGTTCATAAGGTACGATCTGAATTTCTTTGACTATGCTTTCTGCTAATGCTCTACTATTTGCAGCAATTATTCTTCGTGACATCAAATCAAATGGTCCACCTAAAAGCAAATCAAGTTTGGAAAATAGTTATATCTGGTACAAAAATAATTCATATAAAATAAGTATAATACCATGTACCATGGTGAATCAAAACATTTAACACTGTCAATTTTCTTAATAAAAAATCTACTCTGTCACATAACTACAATGTTTAAGCTTTGGTAGTAAATAACAGAGTTTCTAAGCATCTTTTTTGAAAAAATAACAGTTGTTGGTTTGAGGGGGGGATCTTAAGTTACACTAGTCAGAAAATACCTTTGCTCTATTTCTTCTGTTGTGCACTCTTACTACTTCCTTACTTTTTGAGAATCTATGGGCAGAAAATTTGACTCCAAGCCATTTTCATAACACTGTCCTTCCCATTTCCTTATATTTTGTTGTCTTTCTCCTAAATCACTGGTGAATTCTGTGAGCCCACGTTCAACCTTCACTTTAGAAATTTTACCATCAGTTCACAGCAAGTATTTAACTTTTCTAGGTCTGAGGCAGAAGGTGATGGTAGAAGTCACGCATCATTGACTATCAGCATGGTCACCATTCAAAGAGTTCTGGGTGCAAGCCTCAGACTCACTCTGTCTAGACCTTTCTGCAGTCTCTCAGGAATTCCTGCTACTCACATTTGAAAAGCCTTCACCATTTATCATTATCTGTCCCCCACATTACCATCAGCTCTTACTCTTGCCTCTATCTCCTAATGTTTGTTTTGAGTTTGCACAAAATTACATAGCTTCTTTTTGCCTTACAAGCTAGAAGTATAATATATATATCAAATATGTTTTCAAATCCCATATGTGCAGGAAAGTCCAACAGATATGGAGAGAAAAATGCTTCACTGTCCCATAATTTTACCTGTAACATCCATTAGCACTCCACCAGCTTCCGTAACAATAATGGCACCTCCTGCAACGTCCCAGCAGTGAATTCCCATTTCATAATACGCATCTGCTCCTCCAGTTGCCACAAGGCACATATTAGTAGCTGCTGTTCCAACACCACGGATCCTAACAAATAGCATTTAAAAAGATCAGGGTTTTAAAATTTGCCCACCATGTCCATTGACTTACTAGAAGCATTTCAAACATGCCTCATCCACTTAGAACCAAAATAGTGTGTAGAGAATCACACTTTGAATACATTATCCAAGAGGGAACATGGGAGTTCAACAAAAAAGCAAAAGGAAACTCCAAAGTCTGGGAAGAAGGAGAAAAACAAGCAGCCTGCATGGCTGGAATTGGCCAATGACTGGGAGTGACTCCCCCATACAGGAGAAGGTAAGTGAGTGTGTTTCTGCAGTCCACTTTCCCACTGGGAAAATCCAGGATAATCCAGGATTATCCTGGTATAATCCAGGACATGAAAAAGCATCTTGACCCTCCCAACCCTGATTCTAACATAGGAAGCATCCGGGAGACTGTGAGAAGGAACTCCTCCAGTGAGTATCCCATGTCCTTCCTCAGACCCAAGCGGCTACAGTAAGATCACATTCCTGATCCCATCTCTTAACAAATTGTGCATGGTTCTGTACTCATTGGTACTAGTCTTAGGCATTAGGGAGACTCAGGCTGCAGCTTGCAGAATGGGGGCTTAAACAAGGGAGGGGCTCCCACAACCAGAACTGAGAGGCAAGCATGGCATGGGCTCCAACCATCAGCACTGAAACCAGGTGCTCTCCCCACCCCTGGGACCTCACCAGGATGAGAGGTGCTGTGGCTGCTTGGCCCTGTGGGTTTCACAACCCACTCCACCACTGGGGAGATATAGAATGACCAAACTTACAAATTATTAGTATTCTCAAGAAAGAAGAGATATTAAAAGGCTTAGAAAACCTATTTCACAAAAATAATACATGAAAATTTTCTAAGTCTAGAAAGAAATTTATTTTATTTTTATTTTTTTTATTTCATCTAGAAAGAAATTTATTAATAAACATCCAGATATAGGAGGCTCAGCAATTCCCCTGGAAAATACAATGCAAAAAGGAGTTCACCACAGCACATTGTAATCAGACTGCCTAAAGTCAAAGATAAATAGCAAATTTTAAAAACAGCAAGAGGAAGGAAACTCCATCAGACTAACAACAGATTTCTCAGCAGAAATCTTACAGACAAGAAGAGAATGGATGATATTCGAAATGCTAAAAGAGAAAAACTGCCATGCCAGAATAATATATCCAGCAAAATTATCTTTCATAAATGAAGGAGAAATAAAGTTACTCCCAGATAAGCAAATGCCAAGAGAATTTCTTATCATAAGACAGCAAACAACAATCCTTTAAAATAAGGATTATCTTTACTATTTGGATGCCAAAGAATTAACTTCAGTTTGAATGTTGATTGAGATGACTGAAACCAATATAGAGAACAAATGTTTTTTTTTAAAAAAAGGTGGTATCTAATTATAAAATCTTTTAAAAGTCTCATTATCATGGTGTACTATGTAAATCACAGAACTAGCCCTTACAAAGCAATAATTTAATAAGAGAAATATTAAACAATGATTTTTCAGGAAAAAAAAATAAAGAAAATACTATAATTCGACTATAACAGCATGCAGTATACTCCTCTTTGTCTAACTCAGGCACTACAGCTTATATTATGTTATTCACATACACGCATAACATAAAGAAGATAGTCTCTAAGAGGCTTAAAATATCATGACATTGGCCATTCCCAGCCGGGTGTGCCTCATACATGTGCCTGAAGCAGTAACCCCTAGGTCTGCCTTGGAAGATCACTTCAGGTTTGCCCTCCCATAGCACCTCTTCCCTTGCAAATACACCAATTTAAGATAAATATGGATTCTACTTGGTTACAATTATAGTAATAATTGATTCAAGAAAAAAAATCAATAAATGCTAATATTGGTGGGTGAGAGTTTGATATTTACATAGTGTCAAGGTCTCTCTCCACAAGACACAGAATAAGTAAAATGGCATCTTTACAATTTCTACCCTCACTAAGGGATCAAAGTTGAAAAACTGAAGAATCAGAGGAATGAAAAAGGTCACCAAAGAAATCAATAAGTCAGTGCTTCTCCTTGGTAATATTTTCCTAGATATATTTCTTTAAAAATCCTGAAGGAAGAATTACATTCTATGTCAGCCAATAGCAAAATGAAAGGTTAAAGTATTAAACCATTTGCGGCTCTTTTATGGCTAACACAACTGTTTTATTGCCCATGGCTAAAGTCCTTGCCTCAAAACAGCACACTGTATGAGCAAGGGTATTGTTCTTCCCACAAGGACATCATTCTGGGAGGTTCTACAGCTACTTGACAGCAACTCTCTCTTTTACTTTACTCATTACTGTATAGACCACAGGTTTATAGCCCATAATCAGTTTGTACAAAGGTAAAACTATACTCTGAAGGTCCTGACTCCTAAAAGAGAAGTCTAATATTGGAGAAAGAAAAATGATCTAGAAGCTGGGGTTCTAGTCATATCTCCATCTAGCTGTGTGATCTCAGGCAGCCATTTCATCTCTCTGAACCTCAGTTAACTAATCTACAAATTGAGGCCAATTTATTAGATAATCTTTGATCAGTTCTGGAGTCTTATAACTCAGTGATATGTTCAGAAGAAAAAGGAACAGTTGGCAATAATATGAAATCATAAAAATCTGTTGTTATTCAACAGTTTTTTATGATAATTTTTCATGCAAACAACTACCTAAAGGTCAGAGAAATGCTATTTAATATAGCATTAACTATACTAAAGTTAAGGACCTCAAACCTCTAGCTTTTCTTGAAAATTCAAAGATAAATGTAAGGATAAGTATTTGCTTTTAATTTCTTCACTTATAAAACTGTCATTACATCTTCAGAGGCAAGTGGTTCAAAAAAAAAATAAAAAAAAATAAAAAAAAAAATAAAAAAAACTGTCATTACAGAAGGATTCTGAGGTTTGGAGCATAATAGTGGCATGCTCATTTTGAAACTCCCTCTGATCCTCCAGAAAAAAAATCAACAAGGAAGACCACTAAAACACACAGGACCCTTTCCTTCAGCATTTCTAGGAAACAAAACACTGAACTCTCAAACTCCCTGTAAGTAGAAAGAAAGGCAAACAAACAACTGAATTCAAACAGAGCACTGCAAGCCTGTGGATACAGAAAGTGGGGATGAGCAGGCAGAAAAGACTTGGTGACAAAGAGCAGAGAGGACCCAGAGGGAACACAGACAGAAACACCCTCAGAAAGAGCAAGCAAGACAATAAATACAAAAATACTGAACATAGACCAGGACTAAATATGCAGAACCTGACCAGACTGCCTCAAGGAAGCTGTGATTCTGGAGGAGAATTAGATAAGATAAAAGAGGAGGTACTTCTGGGAGATAAAAAGTGAAGGAAAAGTAGAAAGTAAGTAAAATTAAGCCTACTGCAGAAATGAATGAGAAACAAGACATGATAATCCCACCTACCACCACCACTTAACAGATATTCATAAAAGAAACTGCATACAAGGGCAGATCTGATAAAACAGGAACCCTTATCACAGAATGAATAGAAATAGAAAAAAGTAGACTATATCCACACAAAATGATTGCAAAACTTCAGGCATTGCTAATAAAAATGTTTTTGTTTTTTTGCTATAAATTCTCCCCCGTAAAAAAAATTAAGCAGAAGAAAACTGAAACATCAATACAATCTGCATTAAATAGCCTCAAATACTTGAGAATATGAAAAAAATATAAGTCAGAAATACAGAAACTAGGAGCAGAAATTAACAAAAAATAAAACACAATTATTGAACTCAAGAAAGAAAAAGGGGAAAAAATAATGAAATTACATAAGCATGAAGCATAAATTACAGGTGACCAAAAATGAGATGCAAAAGAAAATTTAATAAAAAGGAATGAGGTAAAGAAAAGAAAGAAATGCAAAGGGAGCGAAGAGGCTGAAATGGAAGGCACAAGAAAGTGGAACATTCCTACTGGTATCTCTGAAGAAGAAAATGATAACAGAAGTGCACTAAAATTTAAAATTATATCTCAAGAAAGCTTTTCAGAAATAAAAACTACATCAATCTACACATTGAAACAGAACATTGACCTAGACTGAGAAATTCTAGATATATCCTTATAAAACTATTAGCCAAAGATTAAGGCAAAAAAAAAGAGCTCCAAGTAAAAGATGAAATAATGTAAAGGCCAAGATAATTAGCGGCATCAGATTTCCCAAAAGCAATATACAAAGAAAGGCAACAGTGAAGCAGCATTTTCCACAAATGTATACTTTCTTTCATTAAGAATATTATATACAGCAAAGCCTTTTTTCTGTGGCCTTCATGTCTCAAGGCCACAGAAAAATAGATTGGAATATTCCCAAACTCAGGGAATACTGTGAGCATGTGCCCTCCCCAAAGAATCTACCACTAGAGGATGAGCTTCCTCCCATTAAGAGGTGAGTAGAACACTGTACAAAAGGACTGTGAGCATTTTATAAAGTCAAATGAACTAAGATCAAATGGTAGGATCATGGGTTGAAGAATATGTAGAAATGACATGCTCTAACCAAGTAGAAAGAGTCCAAGTTTAAAAATGGGATAAAAAGAAAGAGAAAGGGAAAAGGAGAATAAAGTCATTGACTGCTATATTGGTAAGAGGTGGAAGCCAAAATATTCTGGAACTTTTACAGATAGCAAATGGTTAAGTAAGAAAAGAGTAATAAAGGCACTATAAAAGTTTTAATACAAAAGAAAACTGCTAGAATAAAATTTTAACATTTCATAAATACAAAAAGAATTTTTTTTAAAAAAAGAAGACATATCAAATAAACACAGTAACTATATACACATGAAAATAAGTAATCCAAAATCTAAGCTGTTGCAACTTTAAATTATTTTGAGCCCTAAAGGAATGTGTTTATGAGGTCTGAGTTACATAATAGACAGCTATAACTTAGGAAGCTATAATCTTTGTTTCTCTCATTATAGATTAGCCTTCTTCCTTAACTATATTGTTTTGTGAAATATTATAATTGGCTAAAAGATACCAGGAAAGA